AGTGAACCATCATAGATCTCGGCAGCAGACAGGGAGCTAATAGTGCTCAAGTTCCACCATGGTTGTGCGAATGAGCCTCCCTTGAAAAGGATCAACGTATGTGAGCACCCAAGAAGTCAATGCGGATGGCAAGCGAGTCTCCAAACATATTTCAATGAACAACTCCAGTGTGTTAGAATTCTGAAGCGTCAAATGACAAATCCCGACCTATGAAACATGCTTTAAACAAGACTGAACCTTCCAAGGCGGGATTGGCATTTAACCAATGGGTTGCCCCGTTTCAACTGCTTGAAATGAAGATTCATATTCCACAGCCCACCCCTTTCTCAGTATTGACACTACAAAGACCCCACAAGTTGTGGCTTTGGTAAGCAATTGCCCTCGCAAGCACAAAGGCTCACGCATCCTAAAAGGCAGTCGCACATCATATAGATAACCGAGAGCCCTAGTAGAGAGAGACCATTCAAACAGGTCTTGTATACCCTGCAGGCTGTGGCCCTGCTCCGCCTAAGACTCTACAGCAAGCAGGTCAAAGGGTACCCTATACTTCAGAGCAAGTACCTTAAAGAAACGCCATCTGATGTACCATTCCGGGACATCAGGAAATGCATTAATTGAAGAACCCCGTGGCTTCACCTATACAGGCACATGGTAGCGCGACAAGAACAACCGGAAAAGTAAAAACTGTACATGGCGCCTGCAGGCTCCAAGCTAGCAGTAACAAGAAGCTAGTAGTAACAAGTGCCACGCTACTAGTAACAAGTGCCTTACTAGTAGTAACAAGAAGCTATTAGTAACAAAACCCGGCAAGACAGTCTCGCCACCCTCCACGACACCACCCCCGGCATGCATGCGGTCGTAGAGGGTATAGGTGCCTCCACATTTACTGAAGCGCTCTTGGCGCTTATGTCATCAACAAAAGAGATGGCCAGCATTGAAAAGAGATCGACCCTGGGACGTGCTCATGGCTTGGCACTGCCGATGATATTCTATTCATCCTTGGACATGAAACAGAAGTAAGAAGAGTAGACAAACAGTGGACATAGAGAAGTGGTAGGAAGTAGCAATGTTCGCTACTAGGGGCTCCTGGCATCGCTACTAGGAGCAAGGACGCTACTAGGGGCTCCTGGCCTTACTACTAGGAGGGGTGAGTGTCGGATCGGTCGCCCCGGATCGGTGACCACAAAACACGGATCGGTGACCGGACCTGACGGATCGGTCGCTCGGTCGCCAGGATCGGTGACCAGAGAGGTCTAGGGAAGGCAAGGAAAACAAACCAAGCCAAGCACAGCGGATCGGTAGCCAAGATCGTTCACCAGAGAGGTGTAGGAGAGGTGTAGCTACGGAAAAGAAAAAGAAACAAAACAACTGTGCCGGATCATACGGTGAGTCCAGACTTTTTCCCCCAAATCTCTTAAACTCAAGAAACGGGTTATTGAAACGGGTTATTGAAAAGCCGCTTCGCCGCACAAAACGCAAACGGCGGAACGCCTGGAACTCGCAATTGGTAAGTTGCGTGTGTATGTACCTGCCACCTCCAAAGTGTGCAGAATTTGTGCTCTTTCAAGAATTATAGCTCTTTGGAGGAGTCGGCAATAACTATGGCTCTCGAACGTTTTTCACACTTTGGTGCTTTTTGCGAACCTTGAGTTTGCAAGGCTTTCTTGACTCCTCTTGTGTCCTTGACAGTGAGGGATGTCATCGAACCACTACTTCCAATGGCACAAGGCCCCCAAGTTCAGTGGTCACATCCAGCTAGAACATCCGCAGTGCCCAGTGCACATCACTCTTTTTCCATTCTTTTGTAGCTGTCGGGCTGATGCTTGGATGGAGTGGCCGAGGTCTGACTGGCATGATTGCTGCTGGGGGGAGCAGCAGAAGCCCAATCGGTGATTTTGCACGCTCACTCCATAAAACGCCACTTCAAGCTACAAAAGGCGCTGTTAGGACCCTAGGAAAGTGTTCCCATGGCGGCTGGTGTTGAGTCGCCCCTTGTAATTGCTTGGGAAGGAGATCCAAGTATCCGAGCGATTGCTCGCCTTCACTCCCAGTTTAGCTGGCCCAATAGATTTACTAATGCTAGGTGTTTTGGCGCCTAAGTTTGTGCTCAAGGTTTTTCCATCTACTCACCGTGTGTAGGGTACAAGTTTGCACCGGCTGTTTGGATGGTGCAAATGAGCCAGCCATTGATGATGGCACCGATGCTGCTCTGGTCAGCAGTGGTGGTGACCTTTCTTGCTATCCTGGGCCACCCAACCCCCTCCTCAATCCAAGGCGCCAAAGTTTGAGGATCTCAATCCATCATTGACAGGGCCTGTGTCAAGCATGTCGCCGGAGGATCGGAGGCGGATGCTTCAGCAAGTGACTGCCAAAGCAAATACAGAGCGGGGAAACTCAAAATGTTTGCATGGTTTTGAAGGATTGGTTTAGTTCCATAAAGGACCTGTCTTACTTAAAACCACCTCCACCCAAGACCCAAAAAAGAACACAAACCCTGAAGGTTCGTCGTCGAGCAGCGACAACGTGCCCGTGCGCAATCAAGTGACTTGGCTGTGAACTCAGTTGACTTCTTTTGATTGAAGGACAATGTTTTGAACAGCTGGAACCCTTGCCCCTTCAGGTTGTCGGACTTCCAACCCTGAGATGAGCCCTACTACTGCTGGCATCCCCGACACTACTGACCAGTCCAAGCCCAGGCCTATTGCTGGGGAGCTTCGGCTCTCAGAAGCCGCCATCAGCGAAATGGTCGTCGTAGTAGTCCCACAAACCCCAACCCTAAAACCTAACCCTAAAAACCTAACCTTACAGCCTAGTAGTAGTAATAGTAATGGCAGTAACAGTATAACAGTGACACGAGTAATATTAGAAATGGTAGTCGTAGTAGTCGTAAAAACCCTTACCCTAAAACCTAGCCCTAAAAAACTTAACCTTACAACCTAGTAGTAGGTGTAGTAGTAGTAGTAGTAGTAGCAGCAGTGGTAGTATCGTAGTAGTAATAGTAATGGAAGTAAAAGCGTAATAGTGATACTAGTTATCATAGAAATAGAAAATAGCCGTAGTAGTCGTAACCATAACCCTAAAACCTAACCCTTAAACCGTATAATAGTAGTAGTGGTAGTAGTAGTAGCAGCAGCAGCAGCAGCAGTAGTAGTAGTAGTAGTACCACTAGTAGTAGAAGTAGAAGTCGTGTGGAAGCAAAAGTAGTAATAGTAGTGATAATAGTTCAGAAGTTCATACTAATAGTTGTATTTGTAGCCGTAGAAACCCTAAACCGAAAAACCTAACCCTAAAACCTGAACACCTGACTTGAACCCTAACCCTCAAAGCCTAAAACGCCCAGCCAGTACTAGTGGTGATGGTGGTGCCTGGTGGTTGTTTTCGTTGCTTTTGCGGTGTGTTGACACCTGTGTGGGTGTTTCAACCTACCACCCCATATCTGATTCATCTCAGGACCCCCAACCTGGAACCCACAGCGGACAGGGCCAGCGCGTGGGCTTCACCGGCCGCCACTCGAGAGGCCGCGCCCCCCGTTCGGCCAAGGCCTGTGCTACTGGACGATCGAGCTGATATGGTGCCCTCCTGCCCTGCAATCGATCAAGTTTGTGTTGAGGCAGCAAAACAAAATTGAAAGTGTTTGCAGAAGGGTAATTTGGAGATCTTCATGGAAGATGGCTCCCAATGGGGTGCTTTGCTTGCTGGGGCTTCAATCTACCATGGTGCATGAAATTGCTTCTTCTCTAACTAATCTTGAGAAGTGGGAGCACCATGATCTCTTAAATTCCCAACTCATTCCTCATGCCACCGAACCAGATCCCAGTCCTGGACTATACTTGGCTGGCTGATGCGCCTGCACCAGGACGATGGTAGCCTTGGAGCCGGCTCGCGTTAAAGGTATTTTGTACTTGGTGCTCACCATATCTGAAGGGTATATAGAATTGCATCCTCAAGAAATAACTCTCACATTCTTAGTCAACAGGATGCATTTACGATACCTACCTCCGAGTCAAAGGGGCACAGGTCAATCTGACTTCCCCCAAAAACATCTCGAGCTCTGCACCGTCCGCCGTCCACAATGCAGGCGCCGCAGCAGGGAGACAGGCAGTCCTAACGATGCTGAAGCTAGGTTTTGACGTCTACAGGTCTGCCCAGTTCATTCCCCTGACAAACGTGTCCAGCAGGTGTGGAGCAAGAAGCGGACGTGTTCCTCCAGAGACCAGCTCAAAAATATCAACAAAACCGCGATGGCCTAGAGGAGGTAAAGTGAGGATCACCTGCTCCCGGTCAAAGAAAAACATTTGGACTGCTCCTCCCCTACCAAGAACTATGTGGGTATCAAACATGCATTTCTTGAGTTCAGGATATTTTAGACAAAAAAGATGGACTCAGGGAGCGTCTTTTTGTATGGCTACAGATGGGTGCAGTCACCGCCGCAAAGCTTGCCGTGCGCTATTGATCTAAAAAGATTGCGCCTGCTGGCCTGCTGGACTGCCCCGTGGCACCAGCCACATGCATCAAACACAACGCGCGTGCCTCCCGTGGAGACACCCTTGTGGCTGCACAAAATCAAAGATTTTACTCACTTGTTGAGACACTGAGAGAAGATCTCCAGTACATTCAAGGGCCAATATATGGTGAAGCAAATCCCAAAAAAAAGATCCTAAACGCCAGCCAAAAAGAAAAAAACAATGACCCTCCTCACAGAATTAGGTCCTTGATAGGAATGTCCCATGATGCACGTGCACAGCACTCGCATCCTCCTAGACTTACGCCTTCCAATCGCATATGTGGCAGGTACAGCGCACACTCATACTTCACGGCTTACTAAGCGTGGGTGGTTTGTCGTCTTGGATCCTTTGGCATAAACATCAGTGACATCGTTTGGGATACTTTGTGCCTCGAGAAGATGCAAAGTTTGCGCAAAGGACTATTTTTGGGAGGGTGTGTGCAAGCAGCGTTGTTGATATTTACACCAGCTTTGATCCCGTTTTGCTATGACAGCGCCGAAAACAGAGAGAATCCTGCGCGTAACAGAAAGGCATTGGAAACAGAGCCCTAACAACTAGCTATTTGGAAAGCAAAGCTGCTGCACTCAAGTCCGCTCAGACGAATTCCAAACAGTCCCAAATCCACTTGCGCCAGTCAAGCACAACAGACTAGACTGGGGATGTGCTGTGGATCTGTATTATCAAAACAGCGATTTCTGGTCGTTCGGGCAATCGGTCGCCAGGGTCGGTCACCAGAGAGGTCTAGGGAAGGCAACGGAAAAGAAACCAAACCAACCACACAGGATCGGTCGTCAGAATCGGTCGCCAGAGATGTCTAACGAAGGAAACGAAAACAAAGCAGGAAAACAAAACAAACCAATCACCCCGGATCGATCGCCAGGATCGGTCACTAGTGATCCTATAGTTCCTGGTCGCTGATCCGGGGGGGGTGTTGGTCGCTGATCCGGGAAAGTTGGTCGCTGATCCGAGAAATTGGTCGCTGATCCGGGAAAAGTGGTCACTGATCCAGCAGTCGCTGATCCTGGTCGCTGATCCGGACCCTCAGTCGCTGATCGGACGTTTATCCTACTAGGAGCATTCTTGCTTCTAGAGGAACAAGAATTCAATGAAATTCCAGCGGCCAAGAAGAAGTAGCGAAGCACGAACTTCCGGCCATCGATGAGCTCCAAGTCCTGGCGATGAGCTCGGACCAACGGAGCGACCACCAGCTCCACGGTCGACGCGAAAAGGGAACAGATTTGTTTTGGATACTAGCAGCTTCTTGTTACTGGTTGTAAGGCACTTGTTACTAGTAGCG